CTAATTAATATATTTCTCTTTGTTTCTCCTCCTCCACATAATCAAAATCATGTCATTGTCTCAAAACTTAAAAAGAAATTTGGATGCTGTCAATCTGTCATATGTCAACAACGTAAAACCTAACTTTTTGGCAAGAAAACTAAAAATGTAAATTGACAACTTTATTATATACTATTATATTACAATAATATAGTTTATTGAACATAAGTGCTTTTATATTTTTTGGGTGGTCCTTTAGTTTTAATGTTTTATTAGTGGAAAAGGGGCTGTATTATTTATGCTTTATTGATTATTGGATTAACTTTACAAATGTAAACAAGTTAAAAGACCTTAATTTACAAGTGTCAATTTTGAGTTGCTGGCTGTTTTGGTGATTATAACCCCTCACTTACCCATCAAGCAACTAACCTCTTTTTACAAGAAAAGAATGTGTAGTTGTGCAGTAAGTTTTGAAAGTTTGTGATTCGAGATTTGATTATAAAATCAGTTTGCATTAATTAATTATTTTATGTAATGTTTGGTATGTACTTTTCATCGCAAACACTAAAAGTTACAATTGACATATTATAATAAAAAAGTTTAACAGTTAGTTACCATTTGCCTATATTTATAGAAAAAACTATAAATTTAAGATTATATAATCCACGATATCAAATGTTACACATACATACCACATATATGTAGTAAAATTAAAATATTGAAGTACAAGTATTTTCCTAAAGAAGAAGGCAAAGTGTTGTTGTAAGAACTTTAAATTTTAAAGGCTTAATTTCTTCTTCACCTTTCATGATTAAGAATTAAATTGAAATTGAAATATGAGAATTGTTAAAAGTTATATTCTAAATGTGAGTAAAATTATCGACCAACTTTCTAAGCAATTTAAAGTGAAGGAGCTAGAAAAGTTCCTTGCATGCCAAGTATTCATGCAACTTTATGCTTTTGAACTTAGGACTTGTCGCTACCTTAACGAGTTGGCATGTGACTTGTGAGTGACGCTTTTGTACTCCATTCGTGGAGTAGTGGACCCAGAATCAAGAAATTTCATGGTGCGTTCTAGTAGTATGCTCAATAACTTTATAAATTGCATACAAATATACAATGTGCAAAGTACATACTTATTGATCGATCACCTTGAAATATTTGTGTAGTCGGTAGTTAAGGTTTCAACTTGTGATCATGTCTTGACTTTCATCCATTACATTCTTAGCTAAAGGAGGAACTATTATTGATCATATTCATTTGCTGGAGCATAAATATTACAGAGTACTATACTAAATATAACGCCTATTGCATATTCATTTGCTGAAACGTAAATATTATAGAGTACTGTACTAAATATAACGCATATTGATAAGAGTAAACTCATACATAAATATGATGAGATCCCACATGGAATAAGAAGAGATGGACTATATATAAATTTGGTGGATTATTATCATGACATTCAAATTAGGATGGAACATCATCTAGATTTGTATGTGATATTGTGATAACATGGTTTGACTTTGTTAGTTATTGACCCGAGTGCCTGCCCATTGAAGATTTAAGAACTCACTTTATCCCTCCGTTAGTGAGTATTGAACATTGAATTGTGCTTCCATTATCTAGTACTTTGAGATTATTGTACGTTATACGTCATATAGGTAGTGGTAAACAACATTGAATTAACTTGTTAAAATTTTTTATACCTTATAACAAAAAATAAGTAAAAAAGTTAAAACCTGCACACTGCATAATCATGTGATTAAGTGCTTAAGCATTGGTTCCAAAATTAAAATCATTATCCTAGAAAGTAATCAGGCATCTAAGTAGCTCTGCATTATCATGTGCTTTGCTTTGTAGTTAAGTAAGATTAGTAAGAGATTAATCTCTAACTAGCCTTTGGACGAACTGGCAGTAACAGTTAGTCACGTGAGAATAATTATGTTACGTTACACATCCTCTGTTGTTGGAGAAGTGGGGTGGGGGTTATTAGGGATTAAATTAAAACTTTATAATAACAAAATATTTAATTCATTATTAAACATTAAAACTTTATAATATCAAAATATTTAACTCATTAAATCGGCCATAAAATATCAAAAATTTTGACTCATTAAACCATTTAATATCAAGAATTTCAACTCATTAAATCATGCACGCATTCATAGTTTCCTTACCAACTAGTCAAATTAAGAATTCCATATGAAGAAGGAATTGAAAAATACATTAAAAATTTTGTGAAAAAAATGCTTTAGTTTTATCTTTTTAGAGTTGTTGGTTGACTTGTAGAAAGTTGATACCAAGTGCATGCCATATCTTTCTTGAATCCGTAAAGTTGAAGCCTACTTGAAGGCAAATGGAATGGACATGCATGTAATAAAGTCCTCAATTTTTCAACAAAGTAAAGAAGAAGTTGAGTTGTAAAATTCCATCCATCTTCTTCCAATTTTCCTTATTACACTGGATTTCGCATGTTTGATGATGCATACAATCTTAGTAAATTTCCCAATGTGGAAATTGGAATAGAAATGATTATTTCTTGAGAGAAAAGATAAAATTTAAAAGTGTTTTTTTTTTTTTTTTTTTTTTTTTTTTTTTATGATTCATACATGGATGATTCGTTCTATGATAGTCATCCTTAAAATGACCATCATTATAATATTTTTATTGGCTGATTTTGATTTATCTTTTAATGTCTAAATTAATTATCAATCATTGATTTAATTTTAAAGATCATTTATTAATTTTGAAATAATTTTATATTTTTTTATAATTTTCCTAATTAATTTACAAAATTTATTTTATTATTACAAAAGTTTAAAAATAATTCATAAATTAATTATGAAAATAAAAAATAAATTTTAAAAATATTTTAAAAAAATATTTATAATTAATTTTGACATAAAAATAATTTTAAAAAATCAACCAATATAAAATTAATATAATATTAGTCATTTTAAGGATGATTCATATATTTGGTAGTGGACAATGTTAACAAATATATAAATCGTATAATCCAACTCTGTAGAAACTACTGGATTATATCAAGAAAAAAAGGGTGATTAATAACCACATATTAAGGGGCTTTTAAGATAAAATTCCATTAGGCTTATATATTTGGCAAGACGTACTCTCCATTGATATATGTTTGGTTTAGTCTAATAAAGATGCATGTAGAAAGCGGCCAACTAGACCGACCTAAATACGTTGTACAGTGGTATTGGCAAGTAGAAAGTGTAAGTTCATCATATCACGTAATAAAGCCTATTCTAAATGGTTAAAGAGTTGTATTGAGGGTCATGCCTAGCAATCTATAGCTAGCATCTTCACATCTAATATAATGGAATGAATTGCCACTATTTAGTGGACTTTCTTTTCTAACAATTTCAAAGTTAAAATGGACATGAAATAATCAACAAGAATGCAGTTTTGATTGTTTGAAAACCATTATTTAGCTAGGCATATGACTAATTTAAGTAAGAGGATAACAACGCAAGTTGAATTTACATCAAATATTCTTATAGTCTATATGATTTAGCTTGCATTTGTAATAAATAATGATAAATAAAAAAATATTATTGTATATTCTTTAAAAAAAGAATTAAATGGTATACATCCAGCACCATATTTTTGGCTTGTTTAAGGCCACACATGTTTGAGCACTTAATGTAGAAAGCAAGAGACAACATAGGAGTTTTCCATTGGCTAAATTAAAGTGTAAAAAAAAAAAAAAAAAAAAAAAAAGGGTTACATTGATAGTGAGCTAGTAGCATTTATACATTCATTCATAATTGATTGAGTCAACTTCAAGGAATTGTATTGAACAGTAGAAGGTTTGTTTTAGAGAGACATTGTTTATTCCATCATGAGTTAGGTCAATCACAAGGAGTGCATGCTAACATAATAATCAACTTTTTTTAATTTCTTTTTATATATAAATGATAAAAATATAAACCACTTAATTTGTGCATGCTAACATAATGATGACTTTTTCCTTTACTTTTTATTTATATGTAAAAAATATAAACCACTTAATTTTTTTATGTGTAGTGTAATTTAGCTACATTTTCCTCCACAAGTATATGATATACAAAGTACATAAATATTACTAGTATAAACTTCACTAGTATGTATACACTGAATGCTATTTTGACTAAGCATCTAGCTAGTTTAAATCTTATGATGTATTATGGTCAATATTAGTCATTTTAACGCTTTTTAATTGTAACTCTCTATAAACAAATAAAATAAAATAAATAATGTAAATAATAAACTAAATCTCTTTAGTACTCGCTTTCCAAAAAAAATAAAAAAACTTTAGTACTGTATATTTATTCAGTATTCCTTCTCTCATAAAGTTGTAGTACTTATTGCTTCTGTCCTTGATTATATAGGTATAACCGTATAAGTACATCATTATATGCCCAAACACCAATTAGAAAACAAAAAACAACACAATAATATAACTCATCATGATAAATATATAGCTAAATTGCACCTAAACGTACTATACAAAAATCATTCACTTATGTTATATATAATCACATAAAAACAAATAACAACCAATTATATTATTCATAACAAACAGTATAAAATAAAACTGATTAGACATACATGATTATGCAAATCAATTAGTTGGTCCACATCAATTTGTTGGCTACTAGACCATTATTTGGCATACTATAGGACTTTATATATATAATGATAATAATAATAATATAAAAAACATTGATGGACCAATTTTGGGTTTAACAAGTTAGATCTAATGGTTCATAGTTTATACTTGTATATAAAACCAGGTTGGCTTAGAAAGAAACGGCCAAAATTAGTTTAGATGATTTACTTTGTGTTAAGTGGGAGTGCTAGCAGAAAGCACTACCAATAAAGAAGAGAAGTCACATTCTAGCCGGCCAAAAGCAAGGCAAAACCAACAAAGACTGACCACACTTGTATAAATTATATGATATGATATGAAATATACTATCCATTTGCATGAATGAACAAGTTCAAGTAGGTCTTTCATCATGTTCTTCTTAAGCTTGTGTACGAAAATATGAAGGTTGTCATTGTTGTACGTCAATGGGCTAACTTCATTGGTTCATTCCCTACACCATACCATTCGAGGTGTTAGTGGTATCCTAAACTTAGGGCCGTTCATTCACATACGTACTAGGCATACATACATATCATTCTAGTGGAGGTTAGATTATTATTCCTTTCTTGCAATACATTCTTTTTTTCCGTATATGTTTTAACGAACTTTTAAGTTATTCGCTACACTTTCTTACAGTATTTAATAAGGATCCACTATTATTTCATTACTATTCACTCCTAATAACCCCATTTGTATTGATATTTTATCACTCATCATGATTGTTTCTCTTTTACATACAATAAATATACCCTTACTAAGGTGTCAACAACTATACTTCATATTATGAACTCTCCTACTTGATCTCCTCTCTACAAATTTTCTTATACTATGTGCTCAAGCCGCTATTGCAAATACCTTTAAATAGAGGGAGTAGGTCATATTCGGTATTAGAGGTATCAAGTCAAATGTTCAGGTTGGGTTAGTTATTGAAAGTAATTTAAATGATGGGAGATATCTGCTTTTAGTTACTACTTTTGTTTGTGATCTGAGAAACCTTTGTCCCATATTTTGGAAGGACAATGAATTGAAGTTTTACTTATGTAGTGAGTTTTATAAATGTTATTTGAAAAGCTCCCATGGGTAGTGTAGACTAGAAAGGGCATCCTCATTTGTGCTACCGCCTAGCCGGTTTGTGTCCATATAATGTGCATGGTGTAGTCCATGCCACCGTAGTTCTGAGCATGAGCACCAAGGGCGAAGTCAGGAATAAAAATTTAAGGGGACCAAGACTAGATAAAGTTAACCCAAAAACCCTCCTTATTTGACTCCATATTGTTAGGAGAATTGACTTGTCACGTTAAGTTGACACCACAGTTACATTGGGGTGAATTTTACTTCTAAGATAGTATTTCTAACATGTCACAACCGTACACATACATCAAAATTTGGCCTATGTTCCTAATGAATCGTTTTCTGAGTGATTTAGAATCATATTCAGTCAATTTCATAGGTAGTCTCATTCATGCCAAGTCAAGTCAACTTTTTATCTAACAATACTATATATATTCAGCTAATATTTATGTAATTTACGTAAATGTACATCTGAATTCATTCCAATTGGATTAAGTTTATTCAATGTAAGATGAGACAATTGATCCATTGAACCTTTGAACGTATCCATAATGTGGAGAAGAATTGCATACATTAAATGGATTTATAGCAAATAACCAAGAAATAGTCATTTTGTTTAGAAATATGTGAATAAAAGGTTATAATGAGTAGTCCAGCAGATGGCCCAATGTTAAATTCATTGGGTAAGGAAGTTGGGCCGAAAGTATGAACGACAAAAGACCCAACAACGTCATGGACTGTCCACGCTCCATTACGCAGTAGCCCGCCGCTCTTTTTCAAGTTTAATCTCCGCTGAAAGTATGCTAGTGTGGTTAAATTGGTCTGCCTTATCCTATCCTAAGCTACTATTTTAGTGAACTGTGTTCCACCCGGTGAAATTATTTAATTATCTTTCACTAGATTCACTACTCCGTCTTGTTGGAGACTAACGATACTAATTTTTATGAAGGAAAATTCTATTTGATTCAATATTTTATGTATTTGTTAACGTTGAATTTCTATTGTAGATGTCGTATGACTTTTAATTGATGAAATATTTTTTGCTATTCAAAAAAAAAAAAAAAATCACTATTCCGTATTATAATTTAGAGCTATCAAGTTGCATCTATGTTATTGATTATGGACGGATAGGATCACTATGGACACTTTGGGAGACCCTCACCTTTCTCTCCACCTCCGAAGTGTTTAGGTTGCTAATTCGGGCGAGATTGACTTTGTGAATGGTTTCTACCCTACCGGGCTCTTCATATGACTAGTAAGAGATAGTTTATCAAGCAACGTTGAAAATTTTACCCTACACCCTAGTGTAGGGTGTGTTCCCTACACCCCCCCTATGCTACGTCGTTTTGTAGCTGGTATTGAGTTCTCATGTGCAGCTTCTTTCCTTTTGCGATTCTTTCCTTTTTTTTTTTTTTTTTTTTCCTTTTTTTCTTTTTTTCTTTTCTTCCTCTTTTTTCCTTTTTCCTTTGATTCTTATTATTCAATTTATGTATATATATGATTTTAAACCCTATTTTTTCTCTCTCTTCAATTGATCAACCAACCTCCATTTTTGATCTACATTTTTCTCTCGCTAATTCATCTTCTTCATTTGATTTTTTGAACGAATTCGTTAATTGTTACCGATCATCAATGGCGAATTCTGCATCTGGAGATTGCGTTGATTTTGATCGCGATTGCGAGCGTGTGTTTCCTTCTGGACTTCGTTTCGTTGATTCGTTTGTGCAACAATGTGAGTAATTGTGATCATAATTTTTCAATTTTTAATTATCCCTAATTTGTTCTGTTATAATGCTCTGTTAATTTGAACTTAATTGATGTATTATTATTCACTTTCGATTTTTGAATTTACTACTTTGATTACATTATGATGAACGTTTTTGGATTGTTGTACTTTGTATGAACATTTTGTTGCTTCATTTGTTGTTTCATTTGTTGTTTTCTCTGTGTTTTAGAATTGTGTGTTTTTGTCGTATATTTTGTAGATTATACTTTCAATTAATCGTTTATGTTTTCTTATTCATTGTTACTAATGTGTTTATGTTCAGTCTTAAAGTCATTTTTGATCATTTATTTTTACATTTTTATATCGATATTATGTGTAGTGGTAAATAATGAAAATATTGTTCAAAATATTATGTGCTGAAATTCTTTTTGCAATTGATCATGTGCTGTTTTGATATTGAACATTTTACTTATTTGTTATTGTTCATTCATGAAACTCTTTATGATCATTTATAATTGTATATTGTGCAGTGGAAAAAAATGATGATATTATGTATTTAGAAGCAGAACAGTCTGAATTAAAGGATAAAGAATTTAAATCTGAAGATGAAGCTTTCGAAGCGTATAATGAATATGCTTTTAGGAAAGGTTTTGGAATTCGAATTGGGAAGAGTAAGAGAAGAAGAGATGATTCTTTTTTGATGAAAAGATTTGTTTGTTGTAATGAGGGATTCAAAGATAATAAGTGTAAGAATAAAAGGATTTATGAGAAGTTGGATCATCGAACTGGTTGTTTAGCTTTTGTGCAGTTTCATATTGATCATTTAGGGGTCTATACATGTACAAGACATGAAATGGTTCATAATCATGCTATGATTCCTCCTGAAAAAAGGCATTTGATAAGGTCTCAAAGAGATGTGAATAAAGAGCAGCTTCTTTTCATTTCAACAATGAAATTGAGTGGAGTCAAAGTTACTGATTCTTTGAGGGTTCTAAAGAAGGAGGTTGGGGGATCTCCTAATCTTTGTTTTACTGCTTCTGATGCTTATAATGCATTGTCATCTGAAAAAGCTGCCCAAATTGAAGGATGTGATGGTAACCAATTGATTAAATATTTTGCCAAGAGACATGTGGATGAGACAGATTTTTATTATGATTTTGAACAAGATGATAGTGGTGCTTTAGTTAGTTTTTTTTGGCGTGATGGTAGGATGATGAGAGATTATCATTACTTTGGAGATTTGTTGGTTTTTGATACAACTTATAGAACTAATAAATATGGAATGATATGTGCTCCATTTGTTGGGATGAACCATCATGGTAACAATGTCATGTTTGGTATGGGTTTTATTCTTAATGAGCGCACCGAGTCTTTTGATTGGTTGTTTGATACATTTTTGCACTCAATGGGGAGGAAAAGTCCCATTACAATTATGACTGATCAAGCACAAGCGATTGCAGCGGGTATAAGAAACATTTTTCCTTCAACTGTTCATCATCGTTTATGTGTATGGCATCTTGAACAAAATTCTAAGAAACACATTGGAGCATTGAGAGCTTTGGAAGGCTTTACAGATTTGTTTGGATATCTTTTGAAGTATTGTGAAACTCCTGCTGAATTTGAATATTTCTGGAAAAGGTAAATTATTGTTTTTTATATTTATTTTTTATTTTTATTATGTGATATATTTGATTATTATGTGATATATATATGAACATTTAGTGTTTTACATATGATCATACAATTTACTTTGTTATGTATGTTATCATAATATTATTAGTGTCCATATTGTTTATGATCATTATTCTTTACACAAATGTACATATTTTAATTTATATTTTGTTCATTTTTAAATTAATATATGATCATTTCTGTTATACAGGATGTGTGATAAATACAAATGTGAAAATGATGATTGGTTATGTGATTTGTATAAAATAAAGGAAATGTGGTGTCCTGCTTATTCTAAGAAGTATTGGTCTGGTGGTATATTGTCTTCTCAACGTAGTGAAACTACTAATAAGTCAGTTTCACAACGTCTTAATAAGACTCAAGGTTTATGTGATTTTTATCATGTTTTTCTTGATGTCATTTCTGAGTGGAGAAGTAAGGAAGGTGCAAGAGATTACAATACTCTGAGGGGTAATAGGCACCTAGCTTTTGCTAATATTGGTATATTAGTTCATGCAAGATCATTGTACACTATTCAAGCTTATGTTCTTTTTGAAGAGGAGTTCATTAGGGGGACAGCTTATGATCATGTTGATAATGGTTTGCGTTTTCCAGAATATTCATATCTTCTTTGGAGGCCTGGGAAGGATATAATTAAGCATGAAGTTGTTTTTAATAAGGAAACACATGCAATTTGTTGCACATGCATGTACTTTAGTGAGACTGGTTTACTTTGTTCTCATTCTCTTCGAGTATATCATTTGCATTGTGTGCGTAATATTCCACAAGAGTATATAATGAAACGATGGACAAAGGCTGCCATGTGTAGTCATGGTATTGAAGAACCTACTTTGAGGACAAATGTTGTGGCTACTAGTGTTTGGAGGTCACAAACAATCAGAAAGTTTGTTAAGTTGATAACAAGTTGTCAGAATTCTTTGAATGCAAGGGCAGAGGTTGAGTGTTATTTCAATCTGTTAAAAGAAAAGGTTGAGAGTGTATCAGGTGTAATTGACTTTAGTGAACCTGTTAAAGAGGTTGAAATTGTTGATCTTGAGATCAAGAATCCTCCAAAAGCTAGGCCTAAAGGTGAGAGGAATGTAAGGCCTAAGAGTACCTTGGAGAAGCAGTGTAACAAGGCAAAGGGTAATTTCAAGAGGAAAAAGTCTCTGTACACTCCTTACAAAAGGGGTATAGGGCAAGCAGTTGTACAGGTATATGATCATTTCATATTTTCAAATTGATCATTTCAGTTTTCGTAAATGATCATTTATGTTTTTTTTTTTTAAATAGGAACTTGATGAGAACGGTTGTGCTGTTACTTATGCTAATTCTATTAGTGATCCCATTGAATTGATTGTTTTGAGCAATAAACGGGCTCAGGTAAATTCAAATGTGCCAAAAAAAAACATTTTATTTATATTTTATTAATATTGATTTTTATAATTTAAAAATATAGGTCGGCTTAAAATCAGCTGTTGTAGAAGAAATTCCTTCTAGTTCTAAGGAATCAAATCATAGTATTTCCAATGATTTTGATCAGGTATATGAACATTTATGATCTATATTATAATTTTTTTTTATTTAATTTTTTATTTTTTATATTTTTTTTTGGTTTTTTTGTAGGCTACTGGTGAAAGCTCTCTTTCATCTATCATATCTATTGATGTTGATATTTCATCTATTGCTAAGGTTTTTTTTTTTCCATATTTGTTTGTATAAGTGTTTGTAACTGATCATATACTGGTTTATTAATGATCAATTTAATTTTTTTAAAGGCGAAGGATTTAAATCTTGAAGGTGTTTCTGCTGTTCAACCTTGTTCTAATTTTGGTGCAAATGAAGGTGCTTCTGGTGTTAAAACTTACTCTCAAATTAATCCAAGAGTTCCAATTCATACTAGTGCGTCAACAAAATCTCCTGTTGTTATTCAACCTACTGTTCCCAGGAATGTTCAAAATCAAACTCAGAATTGTTCAAACACCAATCCAGAAATGATCATATCCAACTCCAGGAATGTTCAATCAACAAATGTTCAAGTTATTTCTCCTACGGTTCAAATAAATGATCAAGGATTTCCTGTTCAGAATGTTCAAGTTACTCCTCCCACAGTTCAAAGAAATGATCAAGGTGCTCGTGTTCCAATTCTTCAATCAAGAAATGTTCAATTAGGTTCTAAAAAGATTTCTTCTAAATATGATAGGTTGTTAGCCTTTTTTGATACAAGTGTAGCTAAACGTTTGGCTAATAAAGATAAATAATTAGTATTCCAGAACTTTATAAACATTAGACTTTTTTGTAATGTTGATTTAATTACTATTTTGTAATTTTGAATTTTCGATCTATTATATAAAAAACTTTCATTCAAAGATTAAAATGAAATATCAATTACAATAATATTAAAATAAAATCCATAAGTCTACTTCTAAAAAAAAAAAATAGTCATATATAAGAAATGAACATATACATAGTTGTAAATGAACATTTGAAACTACAAAGTTGCAAATTTTCTAGCTTTCCTTCTATTTGCTCTTGATTCAGTGTTTTCTTCAAATAACATCAGTTCTGCTGTGTATTGGAGCCTTAGATTTCTAATTTGTTCCACCTGTTGAACAAAATGAATTGTCAAATTTTAATTAAACAATCTTTACTGTTTCATAAATGAATATTATATCTTAAATAATTGATCATTTATAACTCTTACATTGTTTGGTTTTAAATCACAAATCCAGCTCTCATTAGGATCAGCAGTGAAGGTTTCCATATGCTTCATAATGTAAACTCCACAGTTTGTATAGTCATTGTTGCTACGCCATTTCATCTTTTCCAAAACAACTGTGTAGTCTTCAATTCTTTTTGCATCTTGATATCCAAGGTGTTTCATGTACTCTGCCAATCCTTTTAACTGATAGAAAAAAGAGTAAAAATTGTTTAGAAGTTTGTATTGTGATGAAGACATGAACAATTAATAAAATATAATTGATCATGTAGTCAACTATAAATGAACATATTATCTCACCATCATTTTTGGTTGTTCTTCATATTTTGCTTGGACTGATACCTTTTTTGGTAGTTTTCTATTGTCAATTATATGAATTTTGTCTTCTATATGATTGACGCACAACAGAAAAAAATGTTGAGAAGTTGATACTGGGAAGAAGACCTGAACAAATTATATAATGTTATTGGACAATATATTGAAGGTAATTGAACATTTGTATTAAACAAGAATTAATACCTGTTTATATCCAACAATGCTGTCAATTTTATTCAACTTCAGTTCATTGTCAATTCTTTCTATGAAGGCATTAATTCTTGTCTTCATTGATGATCCTTCTTGACAAACTCTATTTGTGCACATAATGTGCTGTTGAAATACAAACAAACATATAGAAGTTAAATGAATTTTTAGCAATTATTTATCATAGGAAAATAGAATCAATAATATAAAAAAAGAAGAAAGACTAACATGAAGCACTGTTGAGAAATAAATCTTGTTTCTCGGCTTTTTATGATTAAGAAACCTTGCCCATCCATCTATGACACAATTTGTCACTTCAACATCATCTCCAAGAGTTTTCATTTCATTTCTATTGATGAGATTCAAGCCATCATAGTATAAGAGTGCACTGCATTATGAACATTTAATAATATGAATGTGAACATATTTTTATAAAAGATATTAAACCTTAAGTTTAATTAGTGTAAGTAATTACCTTTCATCTTTTCCACCAAGAGCAAAGTCTACTGCAATTTGGTTCATGGCTTTCTCATCTTTAAACAGATCCTTGTACTTGACCAAGTAAGGAGATCGGAAAGCAGGAGGAAGTGTTTTCTTTTCGCGTTTTGGTCTTGTTGTTCAATATAAAATATTGTTAAATTAAGAAAATTATGAGGAACATAAATGAACATTTGAGTGTATATAAATAAATTTGAAATTATACCTTTCAACCTTTTCCTTTTCAGTTTTTTTCTTCTTTTCTGCAATTGACTTTTTCTTATCATCATTCCTGGTCATATTACATAACACAAATGTACATTTAGGTATATGAAAATGTTCATTATTATTTTTGAACATTTACTTAATATAAATAATGTACCTTTTTGTGACTTTTGAGGATGAAGCAACAATCTTCTTGTTTTCACTGAAAAGTGAAACAATGTCAGTACATATTAATAAAATAAAAGCTTCTTATGTAACACCCTGAATCATTTTCAATTCATAAAATGAAAGATATTGATTTAACATAAACCTATTGATTTAACATAAACCACACATTCATATTACATATTCAACAAAATAATGTTCACACATACAATAGTTTGAGAAACACCAGTTTCAAGTTACAACACGATAGTAACATAAGTTAAATTGTTCCATCTAGATATTTTATCCTACACCATTACATAACCCTAATAGTAAGACATGTCTTCAGGATTTTACCCCTCCACTTTTTCATCATTTTTTGTTTTTTCAAAAACATCTTCCTTGTTTTGTTTTCCACCTCCAACTGTGTTTTTTGGATCATCACTTTTTTCACCACCATCTGACCTAGGGTCAGCATCAACCACTGAACCAGATCCTGCATCTAAGAAAAAATTTAATTAGATATAATATAATTTCTTTGTAAATGAACATTTGAGTATTTATAATTGAACATTATACCTGTTCTAGGCAATCCTTCATTATCTGACCTAGTGTCAGCATCAAGTTTTGAACCAGTTGCTGCGTCTAACAAAATAATACAATTAATAATGAATATTTCTTGTTTGTAAATGAACATTTTACACTTTTTAATTGAACATTATACCAGTTCTAGAAAATTCTTCAATTCTTTGTTCTGAAGCTGCTGAAGTTTTACCCACATCCTTTTCTCCAGCTGTATTATAAATCATCATTTTGGAGATACACTAAGTTAATAGTATTTACACATAATAATTAGAAATGAACATTTCTACTTAAGTTTATGTACATTATTATTAAATATATGAACATATTACCATTTGTTGAAATTATTGGTTGTTCAATTATATCACCAAGTGTTGAAAAGGTGGGCCCTGTTTCTGTTTAGGACAATTTAGACCACAAATTTAGAATTTTTCATATAAAAATTAGGATATATAGTCTCTTTTAGTTAGAATTTACCAATGGCTGGAGAAGGTGGAGTCAACCCCAAGCTGAAAGCTTTTCTGATGTCATATTCTTGTTCTTTTTCCTTTCCCTTTTTGGTTAATTTCTTCCCAGTCATTTGCTTCTCAGTTGTTTGCTTTTCAGACCCTTGCATCAGATTCTTCTCAGCTTGTGCAAGTGCATTTAGGAAATCCTCACTGCCAAAGAATTCTTCATCTTGGCTTAGAATTGATGGTTCCCTAGCTACCACCTTTCCTAAAACTTCATCAACTTTTTTCACCAAGTCATTTCCAGGGAAGATATCCTTTGCCTTCACCAATTTTGAAGAAAGCTTTGACAGGTTTGAACAAGTTGTTTTTACCAGGGAAACAAAATCATCCATAAAAACCTATATGAATGAATATTAAAAATTATGCAGTTGAACATTTCAGATTATACAAATGAACATTTATGTTAACAAAAGTGATCATTTTATAACCTTAGGACTTTCTTCAACTTCTGCAGCAATCCTTGGTAGAATTTTCCCTCTCCCAAATCCCAATTCTAATTCAATCTTCAACCTCTCAAGAACCATGTCTCTATTCCATGCAGATATGATAGGAATTGTTCTTGGAGGCCTTTTGTCTAACCTCTGAACTCTATCAAAATAGAACAACTACAAGAAAAAAGAAAACATGGAACAGAACATAAACAATAAAAAAAAGTGCATTTATTTAAATTTAAATGAACATCTTGTATCTAAGAATATACCATCAGAAATTGAAGAGGGCCTTTGTAGAACCCCTTGCCTTGCTGCTTTCTCCAATCAACATGACATTTGATAAGTGAGTCATATACAAACTGACACCAGTTCAAATTTTTTATGTTTTCTTTGTCCATCATAGAATAAAGAAATTTGAAATGGCATTGATTGTTTGATACACATTTCATCAAGCAGTTCACAGCCACTGCTAAAAAGTTAGTAATGAAATGTTCACTTGGTGGTCTGTTGTTGGTGAATTTATCATTTATGTATCCATTCACAATCTGCAAACAAAATGAACAAAACATTTATACTTTTGATCATTTAATGTATTTAAAATGAACATTTAAAACTGATCATACCTGACTCACTGATGGAGTTTTTCCTGACCATGATTTTCTCCATTTCTTCAGAAATTCTGCATACTCCTCACTAATTTTATCAGACTTTGGCTCAACAATTGGAATTTCTCCTGTAGGCAAGCCATAAACTACCCTAACATCCTCTACCTCAATTTCTATTTTTTCATTCTTTGGTAGTTCAAAATACTGGCTATTTTCTTCAAAACTTCCCAATAACCAGTTACAGAACTTTTGATCAAGTTGAGGTAAACTAATGTCAAGAAGTGATCCTAACCCTATATCAATAATTTGTTGTTTTTGGGTAGGTGTCATCTTTTTTATCCATGCAATGAACTTCACATGTCCTCCTCTCTTTGAAGATTTCTCTTCCTCAAATTCATCTTCCTGAATTTCCTCAACTTCATCAGTTTCTATTGCTTGAACCATTTCAGTTTTCATTTTCTTTTTTCTCCTACCTTCAATCTTTCCTTCATCATACAGTACCATCTTTTGCTCCTCCTTTTCAACCTTTGCCTTCACTGAATTCCCTTTCTTTGCCTGTTTCTTCCTTGGCTTTACTTCTTCCTCTTCCTCCTCTTCCTCCACCTCATAATCATCCTCACTGACAGGCTCTTCTTCTGCTCTATAAACTGACTCTTCACTATCATCATCACTGTCAGGATCTTGAGAGGGTTCATCTGATGGTACTTCTTGTATTTTTTTTCTCTTTCCAGCATTTCTCTTGGCAGGACTGACATCTGAAAATTAAATATATAATTTTGTTTAAGTATTGAAAATGTACAGTAAGCAAATGATAAAATGAACAAAATTGTTTTCTCAAATGATCATTCTATATATAGAAATTGAACATTTATAATATATCATTATATACCTGCTTTTCTTTTGCCAGCAACCTTAGAAGTTTTCTTCACTTCTAGAGTTTTCTTTTTCCCACCTATATATTGAAATTGAACATTAATGATATACCATCATAAATGATCATTCTATACATTAAGATTGAACATTTACCCTTTTTGCCTTGGTCTGGAGGATATTCAGCAGGAGCACCT